TCATAGGAAAAACATCTTGCTCTCTGAATGACATCTCGCTCAGGCGAGTTGGAAAAACCACTGTCTGCAGATCTCGCTCAAGCGAGATGTATCTCGCTCAGGCGAGCAATGAGTCACTCAAGCGAGCTGTTCCTTGCTCAAGTGAGAGAGCGCGGGGCTGAGGGGTATTTAAGAGATTTGCAGCATGAAAATTTCATTTCATTTTAAAACTCACATTTCTCTATCATTTTCTCTGAACTCTCTCTTCCTTATTACAGAGAAAGGCTTTGAAAACTTTGAAACTACACTGAATCTGAACTCAAACTTCGACTCCACAGAATCATCGATATCTCAGAGCTTGAACTCCTCATTCTTACTTCTATCTTCTTTATTTCCTCTTTACTTAAAGAATACTCTTTTACGTAAAGTGTAGAACTACCTTGGTCCGTGAACCATTCTTTTCTCATTTTTCTTCACCAAACTTGTCTATCTTGTTACCAAATAGGTGGTGTGTTTGTGTTCATGAAAATGTTGTGATGAAATGTTTGATTTTGAGTATATGTTAGATGAGAACATATTTTTGTTATGTTTGAAGTACGTGTGTGGTGTTTGATGATGTGTATAGTTCTTATTCTGAGTGTATATGCACGTATCTTATAGACTGAGTCCGAGGGTGACCTACTCTTGGTAATAATTGATGCATGATGTATTAATGAACTAGAGTAAAATAGAGAAATGAAATAAGAAGGGAATACGATAAATATGAGTATGGATGGTTCAGAGGTGCACTGGAGTGTAGAAGATGGAGAAGATTGAGAAGTCTTGGAAAAATGAGGGTGATGGATATTCTTCTTGAATTGCGCAAAACAAATAAGAGTAGGAGCACTACAGGCCTCACACTCGTTTTCTGACTAATACTTCTGACCATGCTTTTACTAAAAGGGGTCGGGTCGACACACGTTGTATCCGTGTAACTGTAGCTATCCAGCAACTATCTATGTTAAGCAAGACCTCGAGGGATCCCAAGGCAGTGAAAGTGTGAGATGAAAGTTTTAAGTATTAATAGACATAAAATAGAATAAGTTAAATAATTGATAATCTTATTATATGATGATTTGTAGTATTTTCTTATTTGTATCATTGATTTAATTGTGTATGCATGCTTGGTAATAAAAATAGACTCACCCTTATATAAATATTTCAAGAGATCAAGATGACAGCACCCAGAGAAAGCATTAAGCTCATAGATAGTTTTGTACAATGTACTTTGAACTATGTATTTAATGAATACAGGTTTTGTTATTTTAAGTTATCCTTACGTGTTGATAATGTACCCCATAACATTATTATGGTAGATGTGGAATTATCCTATAGTGTTACTTTCAATTTTTCTACGAACAATATAATCCACCATACCCTGTGTGTGTACCTTTATCGTGATATACTTAGAACCCCATAGCGGTAACCTACTTGTTTACATATCATGACCATGATCACCTTTGAAGGCTATTTCGATAGACTTTTGAACAGATTACTGGTACACAAGTTACTGCAGATTCAGGCGATCTATGTCTTGGATTGAATGATGATCTCGATTCCGACAACATCGCGATAATAAAGGAATGACATTGAGATGACTAGTATTTTCTTTCAGTCTTTTTGGTAGATAGACTGCTCACTAGGACCTGTTGTATTTTTGTATTTTATAAATATTGTAAATGAGTCCTAATGTACTTTAATGTAAATTTTGCTAATGTTAAACTCTTGTAAATTCTCTAGAACAATGTATGTATATATTAATGTTATGTCAATGCTTTTTTTAAATTTGTTTAATTTTTATTACTTTGTATTTAAGTTTTTTATAAATTTGAGTAAAATAAGTAAAATGCTTTATAATTTCACATATTATTTTAGCTGGTAAATAGATTTAATTTAATTCCTCCTTCTTAATTACAAATCTATTTCTTTATCATATTTAATAAAATAAGGATGTTAAATTTTGGTTCTAATGAAAGTTTGTAGGATGAAAGTTTTTTAAATATCTCTCAAACTTGCAACTTTCTTGCTATAACAAATAAACTAGACAATAGTTTTTCTCTATTATCTATTATTATGGCTACAACGAGAATTCTTTTTAATAGATTGAAACTTGCCTTTTGTGACTTCTTTTTAATTCTTAATATTAAAACTAGAAATAACAAATGTACACGGTAAATCTTCTCATCTTTATAAACTTTTTTTCTTGAGTTATAATAAAAATCATCTCATCAATTGATCACTAGTCCTTGGGAGTGTTATAAGAAGTCTTTCAAAACATTAAACTTAGAAAGAAGTGATTGTAGGACTTGTTAGATTAGATAATTATTAGCAAGCTAAACCTTCAAGATTTTGTTATAATGCACCAATTTAATCTTGTGCTCATCAACTCTAATGATACCATTTATAATATATAAAAATAGTGATACTACACATTAGTATTGTAATTGTAACATTTGTTTAATAAATTTATTTATCATAATGAATATATGATTTTAAAATAAAATAAAACCTAAATAAAATTATTAGTCTTATATGACAATAAAACAATAATGAAGATGATATTTAAAAAAAATTAGTGATTTTTTTACTCACTTCATTATTATTATTATTATAAAAAATAATATATAATTAAATTTTACAATAAATAAATCAAATACAAACGTGAAGAATAGAAAAAAATATGGAAACAAAGTAAAAATTCTATGTGAATAAAGAAAAAATGTTTTATTAATTTTTATTTAGTTATCTTTATTATTGTTATAATAATAAGATGTAACATAATTAAGTAAAACTTTTGATACACACAAATCGAAAAAACGAGTGCAAAGCATTAGTTACGCGGCATTAGAAATAGAGAAGATTTCAAAAATCATCTTACAAGTTTTTATTGAAGTCTTAAAGAAGATAAGATAGGTTATTTTTATATGCATATCAAAGATTTTTAAGCAAACGATGTCAGAATTTTGTAGTAGAAGAAGTGTTTGCTTAATCTCAAGATAATGGTAGTGTGCTCTTAAATTTATTTCTTCCACTTTAACCTTCTTTAAATTTTCAATCCTCTCTTCTTACTTACTTTAGTGAGACTCTAAAATCTCTCTGATGTTCTATTTTTATTTTATGTTTTCTATTATTTTAATGTTATTCTTCTATATTTCTCCTTCTCTCTTTATGCCTTAATGCTCAATCTTTTTTTTTTTTATTTTTTTTTTTAAGTTTTTCTCTTTGCCGCCTCTCCAAAGAAAATATATTTCCCCCTTGATTCTAGTTGGCTTTAAGAAATGTGTGCTTTAGGACTATAAGGTTACTTGTTGGCTTCAAGCAATGTGATTTAGAAATAAAAAGATTAATGAAGAGAATTTTTTCTTTCTTTCTAGTGAAATAAAAAAATTTAATTTTTCTCTAACCCTCCCCTCTTTCCTATTTATATATTTTTTAAACTTTTGTTTATTATTATTTTTATTCTTTAAAAAACATTCCATCGTTTTCCCATCTTTTATTTTTTAATAACCACCAATCAGATTTTTATCCATCATCTTCTTCTAAAATATATCTACCCATTATTATTGATCATTTTTAATTTTTGTAATTCAATTTTTACATGTTAATCCACTCATCTGGAATCTCAAAAAATTAATCCATTTATAATTTTTAAAATTTAAAAATTTTAAATTTTTCTAAATCCGTTTTTATCTATTATATTGTATCCACTCATAGCCTCTAAAATAAAATCTAATTATATCTTTAATTTTTTATTTTTAAATTTTAAATTTTAATTTTAAAATGAGACTCAAATAAAATTAATTATTCACAAAGAGTGTTAGATTTAGTTCCCTTAAAGACTTAAAATTAATTTCGTAACGTAATATATTAAGAAAAAATAAAATTTAAGATTAAAGTATGTAAAAATATACTTTTTTCTCAAATTAATTAAATATTTTCATATACAAAATAATATTTTTATGTTTTTATCTTGTTAGCGGAAATAGCCAAACAAAACATGTTGTCCTTATCCTCTAAGTCTAGACCTCTACTCCTGTCCACTATGAATCACAATCAATCAAAAGCCGTCAACTTGCTGTACACCTTTTTCCTCAATTGCACTTTGTTGCATCACAATGGGAAGAAGATTATTATTGTAGGCATTATATAAAAGGGCCAGTGACGACAATGCAGCTCGAGTTGTTACTATTTCACGTCATCATATTTCTTTTTAAATTTTATTATAGAACCTATTCTTTTATTTTTTTATTAAAAATAATTATTCGAGTTACATAAAATTATTGATAAACCATAAATATCAAATAAAAAAATAAATAAAAATCTTTAACAATATTAAATGACAGGTTGAAACGAAGTCGACTGGGGTGCTCCAGAAGTTAGTATCCCCATCCTATATCAAAATGCTTTATACAAGTTCAATGGCACCGACAAACAAAAAGGAGACAAAAGAAAAACAGTAAAGATAATCAACGAAAAATATAAATTATGTTTTTAAATAGAATTTACCAAATTCAAATTATTTCCCAAACTTGATTTTATTTTTAAAAAATAGTGACAGCGTGGCTAAAATGCATCTTTAGTTAGTGTTCCGTCTTGGTCTTAGGTGTGCCTGATGGATCATTTTCGATGGTGGCTGATCTGCTTATTTGGCAACCTTGTCGCTTTTGCTGACACGACGTATCTCTCCCCCACTCCCACCTACCATCCTTCCTGTCACTTTCCACTTTTGCTATAACTTATCCTTCGTTCATTATGTATGAATCATTAAATTAATAACAGTTTTATTAACATTAATGTTTAAATTTGATTTTAAGTAATTGAATATATTTTTCATTTAATAAATATAGATTTACCAAACTCCACTTACGCATTTCGCTTTCATCATCATTGGAGCCCATTAACTCACTTCCCTCTTCATATAGTCCATGTATCTGTCTTCCAAGCACAAAAAACTCTATCTTTCCCTAAAAAGAAGCTTTTCTTTTATATACATATTTTAATTAATCGTGCGAGTCCATCTTGGTGGTGAGTTGCGGTTGTTACCAGTGGTGGTGGCGGCGCGGTGGCAGCGAAAAGTGAAAACAAGTGGCAGTGTTGCTGTATGTTGTCAGTGAAATATTACAGTGGAATTTACTACGCTGAGCTCGCTAATCCCTTGCAATGGCCACAGTTCAGGAAAAAGCGACGCCATGTTGCGTCGCAGAAAATAACAAGAACACAACTTCTTCTGCTGCACCCCAACCCCGACCCTCTGTCGCTACCTTCATTTCCACCGTCGATTCCCCACCTGGTCTTCCTCCCAAAACCGCTTCTACCAAAGGTTCTTGTTTTCTTTCTTTTATTTTTTTTTCCTTTTCATTTTTCCCTTAAGAGTTGCTACTATAATGATAGAAGGAGGATAAAGAATTCGAATTATTAGTTACGTGATAAATAATGCTTTTAAGTTTTAACGAAGATCAAACGTTGTATAGTTTATGCAGATAATTTCACCCAGTGAGATAAGATTTTATTATTGCAATTGTTTTCTTACTTGCAATCCTGATTAATTATTTGATACTGCTTAGTATTATATTTGTTTCCCCTCTATTCTAAATATATGATTCCGAATTTGGTTTCATTTTCACTATCGTTTTCCCTGTGTACTTTCATGTAATAAAACAGAGTCGTGTATGCACCTGTTCTTACTCGCAGTTACGCACATGGTATAAGACCACACTGCGTGTTCTCTGATCCTGCGTCTTAATCTTGTTATTTTCTGTGATTTATTTTTTTTATAAATTATGTGCTTTGTTCTTATTTTAACTTCAGTTTGGTGGTGGAATTATTAGAAGTTATAATTTGTCATGCAGGATAATTTAATTGAATGAATTGCTATGTTTCCTTTTAATTGCACAAAGAAAGATTTTCACACGTTGAGAACTTTTTTTTTCCCGCTAGTAATTAACCTATATTGAATTCCTTCTTGATGTGGAGACACACCAGGGGGATAGCTCTTCTATGAGAATCTGTTGGTTGTTTAGTCTTTTATAGTGTCTGGTTCGGGAGAAATTAACACTATTAAGTCTCCTATCTGTGAGGTCCATTCTTTAAGGTCAAAACGTAAGGGCGCTTCTTAAGGTATTCTTAGGGCTATTTATCCATTAAATTTAGTGTTTTACTTTCTTAATCTGTATTCTATAGTAATTTAAATGTAATTTTTTATTAAGATAAAATTCTAATTTTAAATATTGAAAATGGCTAAAGAAATGTAACTAAATTTTATCTCTCATTAATCACTCATTTTCGATGAGGATAGAATTATGCTTTTAGCTTCTTTGTGGTATTCTGCTCTTCAACTTGGTTGCTCTAGAAGATTTGCAGAGCGATGGAAGCCTTGTTGTGTGTTGAGTTTTGTGTGCAGTTTTTCCTTAGCATTTTTGTTGTTCTTGGCCTGTTTATGTTTTTCTTATCCTCTGCCAATTAAGTTTAACTTGTCTTTTCTCCAAAGTTGAAAAAGTGTTATTTTTGGAACAGGTATCACAGTGATGGTAAGAGCTCAAACTAGCCATCCCTTGGATCCACTATCCGCTGCTGAAATATCAGTAGCTGTAGCAACTGTTCGAGCAGCTGGGGCAACACCTGAGGTACATGACTCGTTAATTTGTCTTTTGTGTGTAAAATTTGCTTACCAAGTAATGGCAAATAGACGAGTATTACATGTTGACGAAGCTGTTTGATTACCATGTTAATTAGTTGAGGGATAGCATGCGGTTTATTGAAGTAGACTTGGTAGAACCAGAAAAGCAAGTTGTTGCATTAGCAGATGCATATTTCTTCCCTCCTTTCCAACCATCACTGCTACCCAGAACAAAGGGTGGACCTGTGATTCCAACAAAACTTCCTCCAAGGAAAGCAAGACTAGTTGTTTACAATAAAAGGTCGAATGAGACGAGTATATGGATAGTTGAACTCACAGAAGTTCATGCAACAACTCGAGGTGGACACCACAGAGGCAAAGTTATTTCATCTACAGTTGTTCCAGACGTTCAACCCCCAATGGTAAATATATACTATTTCATCATTTCTATTCTTTCTTATTAGGATTTCCAGTTACTATATATGCAAAAAAATTTGATGTAACACAAAAATATAATATCTTTTAATACTTATTCAATATTATATGTAATATTATATGTCATCAATCACTAGTAATATTTCCCGCCCACAATCTATCTCATTATTAGAATTAGAGATAAATAAAATAGTATACAGAAATTATCAATAATAGTTAAATAATGATATTACTGTAAAAAATCATAAATAAAAACAGTTAGATATTATAAAAATCACAACTAACTATAAAATAACATAATAAAAAAATGAAAATAAATATAAAATAATTTATAAAGTCTGTTGCCGTATAATTATTAATCTCTATATCAAATAATTATAAAATTACCGCAAAACTATTATTCTGTCAATAAAATAACCCCTTTTTTATAAATAAAAAAATCATATATAAAAGTATATTTTTATTCTATATGAACATATACCACGATATATACTTTTCGTTTTATATTATTTTATTATGTAATATATTACTATTATATATATGTTACGATACATTCAATTATTATTTTAATATTAAAATTTAATAATATCTAATTTTTTTATGAGAATAACGTTATTTCATTATTATTTTATATTTTTAAATATAATTTTATCATTATATTTTTGAAGTTTTTGCAATTGCTTAATTACATTTTTATTTTATATCATATATTGATTTTTTTTGTAATAGTAGTTTTTCTCATTATTTAATTTTGTACTATTATTTTTATCATATTTATAGTTATTTATTCCAAAAATATTATTTATTTTTCTTTGACCTTTTTATGATAATGATACTTTACAATAATTTTTAATGCTATCATTGAGATTTGACATCTCAATAGTACTGCGTTTTTTTTACTTTATGATAATATAATATTAATTAATGTTTTTATTTGTTCATACTTATTTATTTTCTTAAAATCTTAATATTTAATTTTATTCTTTTATTTGGTTTTTCTTCACATAATAATATATAATAAAAAATATTATACAACATCTTATATTTTTATTGTTTAAACAATCTATGCAAAGCATGAGTATATTGGCTAGTTAATTATCAAACTATGGTCTCTTTGGATTGTTGTAGGTTTTTAATTTTTAATCTTTAAATGTTAGTTTTAAAATAAAATGTGTTTAGATAAAATGAATTTGAATTAATTTTTAACTCAATTTTTAAAATAAAAAATGTTTTGAATTTTAGATTTTAATTGTATAAAAATATTTCTTTTTAAAGACCTACATGTTATGCTCACTGTTATTGTTATCCTTAACACTATTGTTGTTACTGTCATCCACGCCTGAATAATTGAACATTCTCATAAATTTTACAATCACTGTTACATTATCATCTTTAATACTATCACTTTAATCGTTATTGTCACTACAATTATTACTATAATCATAATTAACGATCACTATCTTTATTATTATTATTTAGCCACCTTAATAACTGACCACCGTTATCGTTGATGCTACCACCCCACTCAATCACTGCAACCACAATTATGATTGTGCTATTATTGTTATTCCTCTTCTCTATGTTATTATTATTTTAATAATTCTAACTGCTTACTCTTATAATTGGTACTACTGTAGTCTATATATATTGTTGCTACCACTAACTGGTAATAGTCGTTGGTACCGCTTCCAGTGACTATTTCCTCCACCATTGTTATACAATTATAAACAAAAAATAAAATAAACCGGGGCGGGGGGGTTGTGCCACTCTACACAAATCATTTCCTAAGATAAAATAATATCGGAAGAAGAAAGAAATTGGAAAGCAACGAAGAAACTGAAAGAAGAACAAATAATAAAGAAATATTTTCACACTCTATAAGAGCACTTAGATTTATAATATAATGATTAATTTTAACATTTATTCAAAATTTAAATTAATTGCTAAATTATAGTAAAATGATATGTCATAGAGAGAAAGAAAGTATACTAAAAAATATATTCGTATTTAAAAATAAAACATTTAAATTTATAATATAGAATTGGTTTTTCTAAGAAAAACAATTAAAACATAACACAGATATACAACGTTTTTTTCTCCTAGTGTATAACTAACTGTTAAAACTAATTTCTTTAAGCTATAAAGATTCTTAAAATACATTTTACTTCTCCAACACAACTTTTTTCATTTAATATAAATTTTAAGATAAATTACATTCACATTTTAAAAGTTTAGTAATTTTTTACCCAACCTTTTTAATTTTAAAATTTACATAAATATCTCTTAATTTTTTTGCACCATAATACTGTGTATTATTTTCAATAATATTCACTTTCTTTAGTTTCTTAATCAATTATATGAATCAGCCGAAGTTAAAAAAATTAAATATAATTTTATTAGACTTAAATATGTGATTGTAATATTTGAGAACCTATGAAGTAATATCCCCTTTAAAACTAACGATGAAATCCTAATTTAGGAAAGTAAAAAATAGAAATGTTAATAACATATTCTTTTAAATATACTTTAATGATTAGTTAATTTTTTAAAAACTCAATATAATTTTTAAAAAGTAATTTACGAGATAAGTTCTTTAATATTTTAGAATATTGATCAATAAAAGTCCTAATTCCGTGATGTGATATCTACTACAATTGACTGCACTGAACTTCTAGTTCTGATGTCCACTATTTTCAAATGAACATTACTTGTCTTGTTCACTCTGCACCTGTAGGATGCTGTGGAATATGCTGAATGTGAATCTGTTGTAAAGGACTTCCCTCCATTTCGTGAAGCAATGAAGAAGAGAGGGATTGAGGATATGGATCTCGTGATGGTGGATCCTTGGTTAGTCCCTGCTTCATGGTGATATGTTTGCCATTTTATGATAGTTTACTTTAGCAGTGTCTCATTCTCTCCATTACTTGTGGTATCAAAACTTAATAGGTGTGCTGGATATCACAGTGAAGTTGATGCTCCAAGCCGTAGACTTGCAAAACCACTAATCTTTTGTAGGACTGAGAGTGATTGCCCTATGGAAAATGGTTATGCACGTCCTGTTGAAGGAATCCATGTACTTGTTGACATGCAAAACATGGTTGTTCTTGAGTTTGAAGATCGTAAACTTATCCCCCTACCACCTGCTGATCCGCTAAGAAATTATACTTCTGGTGAAACCCGGGGAGGAGTTGACCGAAGTGATGTGAAACCCTTACACATTATTCAGCCTGATGGTTCAAGTTTTCGTGTCAAAGGGCACTTCATTGAATGGCAGAAGGTGGTTACTTGTCTGTGTAAATTTTCCCAAGGTTAAAATACACATTTAGTTTCTGTAGTTAATACTCATTTATAAATTAATCTCTGTGCCTTAAAAACTTATGTTTTGTCCCTGAAAGAATGTTTTGGTGTCTGCTGTTGTAATCCGTTAGTAAAAGTTATTATTCATTTAAGTTACTATTACTGAACTACATTAGCATTTCTACCGGTGTTATGATAGATGAGGCTAAAATGTGACGAAATAGTTGAATAAGAAATAAAATTTAAATTTTTATATAAAGAATAATTTGTAAATGAGTTTAAGTTATATAGACTAAACATTCATGTTAACCTTTTTTTTTCCCTCCAAATATCACAATATCGGCCATGTTTAGAATTGCTAAAACTACTTGACCATTTTTTGCAGTGGAACTTTCGCATTGGATTCACTCCTAGGGAGGGTTTAGTTATTTTTTCAGTAGCCTATATTGATGGAAGTCGGGGGCGAAGACCAGTGGCTCATAGATTGAGTTTTGTTGAGATGGTGGTCCCTTATGGAGATCCTAATGATCCTCACTATAGGAAAAATGCTTTTGATGCTGGGGAAGATGGCTTGGGGAAAAATGCTCATTCTCTCAAGAAGGTCAAGGCAGTTGCTTATATTTCAGTCATTGTTATCTTAATCTGTTCTCTTTTTCCAATGTAGATGAAATTGAATATGTTTTGCACGATGTCATTATTTCAGGGTTGTGATTGTTTAGGCTATATCAAGTACTTTGATGCACACTTCACAAACTTCTATGGAGGTGTTGAAACAATTGAGAATTGTGTTTGCTTGCATGAGGAAGATCATGGTATTTTATGGAAGCATCAAGATTGGAGAACAGGTTTGGCTGAAGTTCGACGGTCTAGAAGGTTGACAGTATCTTTTGTATGCACTGTTGCTAACTATGAGTATGGATTTTTCTGGCACTTTTATCAGGCAAGTTAAATTATCCATGCATTTATCTATTAGTCTGTCGAACGGTATTTTTAGAATTATTAATGACTTTGAGGCCTGATAATATTGGGAGGGTTTTGCTATGTACCATAGCATCTAAATCAGAATGAAAATTGGATTGGTAGCATTGCTGGCGTCATTAGACAATACCGCAAAGACATTCCATTTCAAAATTTCAACAAATGCATGTAGTATTAATTTTTTTCCTTTTTAATCATCTGATATCCCAAATTGTTTTCCTTGTATTTTTCCTGACATTCACTTATGGCTTGTAATTTACTTATTGGTCATTGTTTGTCTCTGTATCTGTAATCCTGTAATTTTTTTCTTTCCCTCTTGTAGGATGGGAAAATAGAAGCTGAGGTCAAACTCACAGGAATTCTGAGTTTAGGAGCATTGCAACCAGGTGAAACTCGAAAATATGGCACAACTATTGCACCTGGATTATACGCACCTGTCCACCAACACTTTTTTGTTGCTCGTATGGACATGGCGGTAGATTGCAAGCCTGGTGAAGCATTTAATCAGGTTAGCATGTAATTTTATTTTCAAATGGGCAGGGTCTTTATTGCCAAAGGCAAAATTTTCTTCTCCTCTGCCTAGCCTAAGTAATAATAATAATAATAATATATAAAGTACAATCGTCTTGTATTCTGTAGTATAATAATATAAGAATGAAATGTTTTCAAAAGAATATATCATAAATTATTAGGAGAGCATAGCGATTTCTCTTTTAATAATGCCTTTTAATACGGCAAAGAACAATATACCATACTAAGCAGTTCATTCTTTGGTTTGACATAAATGTCTCTCGCTTTCATCACTAAGCTATAATTCATTGTCATTATCATAAACAAGGAGAAAGTATAAACCCATATTTTCCCTCTCTCTGTCCAGGTTGTTGAGGTGAATGTCAAAGTTGAAGAGCCAGGAGATAATAATGTTCACAACAATGCGTTTTATGCTGAGGAAAAACTGCTTAAATCAGAATTGGAAGCAAAGCGTGATTGTGACCCTTTATCTGCTCGTCACTGGATTGTAAGTTCTTTCCAATTTTAAACCCCCCTCCCCCCGCCTAAAAAAAAAATAATCAGAGGTTAAATTTTTTTCCTGGGTGAATATTTCTACCCTTTGTCACTGTCCACTGTAGATGTTGTAGCAGGGACAACCTGTAAAATTTTCAAATCTGGCTGCTGTTTTATGCTGCTGCTGCTCTGTAAGTTATGAAGGATGTTGCAGAGTGTTTATGCTACATAAATATGTTCAATTTATTTACATAAATTGGAAAAAACGATAAGCCTTTTATTTTGTGATTGCATGATTCTGGTATTCATATTAAAATTGCTAGCTACTAGTATTATGGGACCCATACATTGAGAAACATTGGCAATCTATTGGACCAAATTTTCCTTTTTAGTTCTATAAATATTGTTCCAGAATGCTTATATTTTCATTTTTAATTTTTGCAAAACCATGAATCTGCGTTGACAAAAGAATGTGTTTATATTAGCTATTCATCATCTATTTATCTTCATATGCAGTGTCCGTAATTATATTTTATTACATGAAGATGATTTCCTTGTTTGAAGCAAAAGTTTATCTTTGAGCAAGAGTTGCTTAAGTAGAAATATTGTTTTAGGTTAGGAACACAAGGACTGTAAACAGAACTGGGCACCTAACTGGATACAAGTTAGTGCCTGGCTCAAACTGCTTACCTTTAGCCGGCTCAGAGGCCAAGTTTTTGAGAAGAGCTGCTTTCTTGAAACACAATCTTTGGGTCACTCCTTATGCACGTGATGAAATGCATCCCGGTGGAGAGTTCCCTAATCAAAATCCACGCGTTGGAGAGGGTTTGGCTACTTGGGTTAAGCAAAATCGACCCCTCGAGGAAGCTGATATAGTTCTTTGGTTAGTTCCCTACTTGACCCATTTTATATTAAACACTTTATCAAAATAATATTAGAAAAATATTTTTTCAAGATGAAATTGCACTCTGTACACTAACAAAAAAGAAAATTACACTTGATCTAAAGCAATTCTAAATTGGTAAATCGTTTTTATAAATGACTTTAATTTGTTAATTAATAGTAATGTGGTAAAATGCCTATACATAATCACGCACTCCTAATGTTTTTTATAAAAAATAAATAAATTATTTATTAAAACTAATAAAAAGTAATTATATGTTATAGATTTATAGTATATTATAAAATATTTATAATAAATGATTAAATTAGCGATTTATAAATTAAATGAACAGATATCTACCTACATGTTTTATTAATACAAATCTTACAATAAATAAAAATACAAAAATTTAATAATTAATATATTAAAATATATATCTTTATTTCTTATAATTTCGACTTAAAAAAAGTTGGATAGTTGTTTAGGGATTGTTATACTTGATGAATACCGCGAACTTGATAAGCAGGGGTGCTTATGGTTATTAATTTTTTTTTAATGTGTGTTCAATGGCGTATTATATTTTATTAAATAGATAATAATATTATTATAAAAATAGAGTTAAATAATTTTTACGATATTTAGATGATAAATCTTTTCAGTTTTAATAAAATTATCTATAGCACATTAGAAAATAAAAATAAAAATTTATACATGTTTTATTATTTGGTGGAATGTTCCAGGTACGTATTTGGAGTAACCCACATTCCTCGATTGGAGGACTGGCCTGTTATGCCGGTGGAACGCATTGGATTCATGCTTATGGTATTCTATTCATCGTTAGCTTTTGTCTTTGCCATTCTTTCTATGTGAATTGCAAATGAGATTCAAATTAAAACAATTTGCGCTCATATTGTCATACAATTAATTGAACTTTGTCTTTAAACGATGCTAGATTAGAGACACCTACAGACTAAAGATGTTATTTGGAAATAGAACTAATACTAGTTTTGTGTGCATGCAATTTATGATGCAGCCACATGGCTTTTTCAATTGCTCGCCAGCGGTAGATGTTCCCCCAAACCCAAGTGATTTGGATGATAAGGAGAATGGCGTGCCTGCCAAGCCTATTCAGAATGGGCTAATTGCTAAGCTCTGAAAGGATCATAAGCCTCCACATTCAGGCTCGATTTGCCTCTTTGCTTTGTTATGTTCAAATAATTTAATATTCGCTACTACTGCTTGTTAATTAATCAATAGTCGTGTCCAATAATAAACTGTCTATTGTATCATTTGTGTGTAAACTTGTTATATGGCGCATGGTAACTTAATGACATTGGATTTTATATTATATATGTATATGGAACTTTATATATGAATAAACATTAGTCTCAAATGCTTAATGTGTTGTCTACATAACAGTGGTTTTAAGGGGAAAAATGGAAAAAGAATTGCAACTCATATTTTCTTCATAATTTTTATTATTTATATTAAAATATGTGCTATAAAAATCATAAATTAAACATATATGAGATACAAAAATTATATCTAAATTATAAGATTAAATTTATACAACACCATGTTAAAACATAATTAAAATAAAATAAAATTTGTATATAATTCATAATGTTCAAATTTCATCTTATTAAGATAAAATATTTTGAATAAATTCTTGAAAAATTCTTTGATACTAGCTGTCATACATATTAATAATTTACTTATTTAAATTGTCTTTTAATCCTTCGTATATTAATTTTATATCACATTTAAGTTCTTATCATTAATATATATTTGAAAAATATTAACTTTTATTCATTAAATAATACATAGATGTTATTTTACATTTCTTTTATCTTTTCTCTTTCTTCTCAAATCCATGCTGTTAACGGTAGGACTCTTAACATTTTACTTTAAAAATAAATTTTAATTATTATTTTAAATTCTAATTAATAAAAAAGAAGAATATAAATTAATTTTATAGGATTTTTTTTTAACTAGTTCTTGGTGATAAATACTTAAAATTTTTTACTAATTGAGACGTATTCAAAGGTGATTGATTAGAGGTCTGACAAATTATTTAGAATTTTGTTTAAGAATTTAGAGGAAAAAGAAAGAAAAGGGTTTAAAAGGGGAGGGGAGGGGAGGAAAGGGAAGGAGAAAAGAGGTTAAATCTTTCCTTTGTTTAGATGTTTAATATTGAGAAGAGAGTGTGATGAAGAGTTTATTTATATAAATGATACTATTATATTTTATATCTTTTATTTATATTTTTTTATTTTTATAAAAATAAAAAAATAAAATTTTCTTTCTCTAAAAATTAATAATTTTAAATTTAATATTTTTATTTTTTATAATTTTTTTAAAAATTATTACTTTAAAAACTAATATTTTAAAAAAAAAATATCATAAGCATGAATCCAATGTTAGGAAAAGATATTTGGAAAACCTTCAGATTAGGAGAACTCAGAAAATTAATGTTAGGAAAGTTTTGAAAGGTTTAAAAAAACTTTCAAAATCTTCTCCTCCTACTTAATCAACTTGCAAATAAGGATTGATTCTTCCTAACTCTTCCCTTTTCTTTCCATTTTAAACTCAACTTTTAAACATAGCCTTAATCACAAAAAAAAAAATAAAAAAAATTCTGCACTCTGAAAGTACCAAATAAAAATTAGAGTTTAGATGACAACCAAAACTCTAATACATTTAAAATTTTAAAATTTCTTACTCCAAGAATAAAACTTAAAGCACGTGAACTTTAACCCATGCACATGCATGAACCCACGTGACTATTACCCAAAACACTAACTTTCAATACTCGAACTTTTTCGATCTCGGTGCAACTATAGGACAACAAATTGCATAGACATACAACCAACCAAGGATTTCACTATGTCTATAAGCTACCGAGATTGATGTCACCATTAAACACAATTCTACACCCTTCCTTTCTTTGATGTAGCGTAGAATTGGAACTAAATTAACCCCGCATCTACCTACCAAAACGAGTGTCGGTGCAAATGCAAAGAGAGGAAATTATGAATGGGCACTTACACTAGGCATACCAAACTTAAAAATTTGAATGATAAACATCCCTTCTCTCTCGGTTACCAAGCCAATGTAAGTGGAGTGACACTCAAGTAGTACCATGTAGGAATAATTAGAACCAACTGGACCCTATTCAATTGCCCCTCACGTGAATGGATCCGAATCGCCTGCAGTTCTGGCAGGAATTGCAGGCTGCAGTTTCCTGTTTGCTTAAGCAAAATTTTTTTGCTTAAGCAAATTTTGGTAAAAAGTGATTTTGGCTTAAGTTAAAATAAATTCGCTTAAGCCAATTTTTGCTTAAGCCAGAAAATTTCGCTTAAGCGAAAGTGAAAATACATTGCAGCATCTTCTTCTTTCTGCGTATTTTCGCTTAAGCGAATATTGTACTTTTCCCCATTACTTCGGTTTAAATAATTTCGCTTAAGAAGAAGATGCTTTCTTCTCTCCATTACTTCGGTTCTCTCTTTTCTCCTCTCCTTCCAATCCAGCCACCCTCTTTTTCCCTCCCTCTCACTCAGTCTCTTTCTTTTCTCCCCTTCCCCATCTCTTCTTCCTTCAACTCCACCCAATCTTCTTCCTCCCCTCCCCTTCTCTCCTCATCTAGCCCTTTTTCCTTCCCCCCTATTAGCCTTCTTCCGCTCCCTTGTACTTTTGCCTCCATCTCTGATCTCTCTCTCAGCCTCACTTTCTCTCTTCTTCTTCTGGTTTTTTTGCTACTCTTTCTAAATTCGCTTAAGCGAATTATTTTGGCTTAAGCGAAAATTGGCTTAAGCGAATTTGTTTTAACTTAAGCTAAAATCACTTTTTACCAAAATTCGCTTAAGCAAAAAAATTTCACTTAAGCGAACGGGAAACTGTAGCCTGCAGTTCTGGCGGGAACTGCAGGCAATCCGGATCCCACGTGAATCTAACAAGTACATGTCTCCTTCATGTAAACCAAAAATTAAATAGAACTTCCTTGTTGCAGCCCAAAAACCAAAAGGAAGGAATGCAGTCTTAGAAAGTACCAAAACTCATATTTGGATTGCACCATGCGCTTGCAACTGCTCTCCAACATACCCCAAAACCAAGGCTCTACAAATCTTATGACAGTGGACGTGCAACTCATAAAATGACAAATTTGGAACCACACTTGCATGTAACGCAAAAACACCATGTCTACTCTTGGTGCAAGACAAAAGGCGCGTAGAGTAGCACTCAAATGTCACAAAGACTGGACCGAAATGTATATGGTTGCAGACTGGTCATCCTTTTCCCCACAGGAGACAAGAGATATTCAAACTTTTTCCAAGCCATGAACTATAAAAAATCGAGAAGCATAAGGTAACTAACATTTTAAAAATCTGATCTCACCAAACCAAACATACGAACCTTCTATCCTTTAGTGCATAATAAGTCACGTGAAAGTGCACTCAAGTGTGGGTTGGAATTAGGATTTTGCATGGTGCGCCTGGTCCACTATCTCGTGCAACAGTTGATAACAATTTTGCCTTATGCAATGTCGAATAATACCAAAGCTGCTATACACCGAGAATTAAGGGAGCACATTCATTTCTCCAAAAGCTCTGTCAACACGAACCTATTTCTCTTCTCTTACGTCTTCAAACGTCTATCTCTCTCTGCATCATACACCAAAACTCAGAAACCAAAAACCTTGTTCAGAACATTTAAGATAAATCAAATTCTATACTTCTCTATACTATAGATATCTGTTGAGATACCTTGAATTTTTTTACTTTTGTATCTATTAAGTTTCAATTGTTATTTTTTTTTAGTTGTAATAGAAAGTTATAAGTAGTAATAAAGAATTATGAGTATTATGGTGAGTTATGATTCTTTATATACATGAGTTTTAAAAGTTTATAAGACCTTCTTCTTATCTAGTATCTTGTACTTTAAAAATTAGAACAATAGAAGTCTCTCAATTTGCACGTGGATGTAAGTCACATTAATTGAACTACATTAAATTTTTTTGTGTTCTTATTATTCTTTTTTGTCATAAGAATTGGTATCAAGGGCTTAATTTTTTTTTTCTAAGGACCAGTTCTTGTGATCATAATGTCTTCATCTAAATTCGATATTGAGAAATTTAATAAATCGAATGATTTCGCTATATGAAAATTGAAGATGAAGGCGATTATGGTGCATCAAGGATGTGGAGCAGCACTACACGGTGAAGAAAAATGTCAATGACTCTAAAAAGTAAAGAGAAGAAAAAGATATTGAAAAAGGCGCATAGTATGATTCTGTTGAGCCAAACTGATGAGGTTTTGTGAGAAGTGGTTAATGAAAAAATGACTGCAAGAATGTGGAACAAGCTTGGAGAAAGCTATCAAAAGAAATCTTTAACCAATCGGTTGTACTAGAAGCATCCTTTGTATACCTTGCAGATATATGAGAATATTTTAGGAAGAGATTATCTCGATAATTTTAACCGAATTATCCTGAACATTCAGGTTGTTGGGGTTAAAGTTGATAATTAAAACCAAGCTATTATTTTGTTATGCTCTCTGCCAAAATCATTAAAGCTTTTTGTTGATACTATGTTGTATGACAGAGATATTATTACTATTAATGACGTGAAACATGGTATGCAATCTAAAGAACTTAAGAGGAGGGTCTCTAGTTCTGTTGTAGATGATGAAAGTCTGATAGTTTGCAGAGGCAAGAGCATGAAAAAAGGATATAATAACAAGAGTCATTCAAACTCTAAATTGTGTGGAAAAAAGGTGAAATGTTATTATTATAAAGAAAAAGAGCATATTAAAAGGAACTATTCACAGTTGAAAAATAAATACAACAAAGGTAAAGCCAGTGCAGTTGTTGCTCAAAATAATGCAAATGCTTTTTCTTATAGTTCAGATGAAAGGGATAGTGGAGATGTTTTGACGGTTAGTGCTACTTGTTTTGCTGATATCTGGGTGATGGGCATTAGTGCTTCTTATCATATGACTTTCAAGAGAGCATTGTTCACTTCATTTAAAGAATGGAATGGCAGTATGAAGTTAGGAGATGATGAGGAGCTTATTGTAAAAGGGAGTGGCTTAATGCAAATAAAGATATATGATGATATTGTTAGAACGTTTGATGCTTGGTATGTTTCTAGTTTGCAAAAGAACTTAATTTCTATTGGTACCTTGGATAAGTAGGGGTACAATTTTTGGAAAAAGGATGGACATATTGTAATTTCTAAATGTGCTCTGTTTGTGATGAAAGGAAGATTGCAGAGCTTTGTTGAAGGAATTGTGTCAATATCTTATTCCTTAGAGCAACATACTAATAATACAGAATTGTGGTATCGTTGA